TATTGTCGACAGTGAGTCATTTACCATTGATTTGCAAAAGTTTGATAGGTTCAGAAAATAAAAAAATAAATTAAAAAAAACATCACCTTAATGTTTCCAAAGACTCAATTCTCAACATCTTGGTTTGAGATAATACTTTTATTTGACATTACATAAAATACATTATGTAATGTCAAAATGAGCTGGCAAAAGTCTTACAAAAATAAATTAATGTGAAACATTAGCGGGGAAGTGGCATTAACACAAAGCACAGCTTTTACAAGGAGGAAACAAAAGCAGATGGCCAAAATAAAATCTACTTCAGGGACGAGTAGCCTCTGATTTTTAATCCTACTCTGTAGGCGATAAACCGGAGCCTAAGTGATCTCTGTTTTTCTATGTTGATAACTCAGCCATCTGTAGTTGTAGACTTTATGTCATTATTATATGGACAAGCCACCACAGGGTCTATTCAGGGAACAAATCAAATTTCTTGTCTTAATCTTATTTTTACACTAGAATTAAGTTTTTGTTTCTTTTTTTATTTCCAGATGACTGAGAACATTTAAATAATGCACCCTTATGTCTAATTTGCCATGGATATACTGTGAGACATAACTTGCATTATGAGGAGAAACATAAATCCTCAGTTTGTTTCAAAACAACAAAAAGGTGTTTTTTGAGCTCTGATTTAATTTCAATGTCTAAATTCCAGATGGGAGAAAATACTTTGTCTTGTGCTGCCTCACAAAGTAAATGGCATGTAATAAGAGCGGAGAACAGAGGTGTCATGATTTGAGACAAGTATCCTGTCATATAGAAAAAAAAGGTGCCACTGTGTTTTATCAGCAGTGTGGAAAGAAAGTCATTAGGGAATCTGAAATAAAACTCTGACAGCTGTCTGTCAAAAGCCTGATGTCATTTTTTAAACATCCTTTCTTTGTGGGGTTTTTTTTTTTTACGTAATTGGTTTTTAACTATGGCATAAAACATAACAGAAGAAAACAATGTCTAATTTTCACGAGTAATATTTAATTTTGAAACATTTGTGCATTTTCTTTTCTAAACACATGGGCTTTTGTCAAGAATTATGCAAAACCACAGCTGGAGTAAATCTGTAAAGAATTGAAATCTACAGTACCAATCCTCGGTTATGGCTGGTGCAGATGTCTAATTACAGACTAGCAAAACACCCTCAGAATTACATCATCCATTTTCAGTTCGCACAAATGCTGCCTCTTTTCTGTTACGTTGGTATAAAGGAGCTTTGTTCAATGAAGCCAAATACTGGAAGTGCGATAGTCAATAACTAGTGGAAGATTTGAAGTTCTTCTTTCAAAAAGGACATTTGATGATCGAGTCTTTGGTTAAGTTTCCAACATTTGCTTTTGATGAAGCTGCTTGTGGTGGCCATTTATGTAATGTCTGCAACTTGTAATTTCTACTAATTTAGTTTTCTATTTTGGGGAGTTTAGAATTTATTTGAGTTAAGTTTAGATCCAAAATCTGTAGTTAATTTGTATATTTGAATTGATTAGATTATGTTGTAATTGGTTAGACCCTCCCATTAATTTGAGTAATTAAAACACACCGGGTGCTGAGTGGAGCGATTGTTTGATAAATGTTTGGTGTGTGGATGGGAGGTTTTTTGTAAATGATTTTTTGACCACTTTCACTTTCACTTTTCACTTTTTTGTACTTGAAATGTCATAATAATTTTACTTTCATTTTTTGAGTAAGTTGTAGGACATTTTTGGTAATTATTTTTTTACAAGAAATAAAGAATATATTTTTTCAAACAAATTAAGTCGGAAGTGCGTTCAAATCAGAAACCACCTGTTAACACCCACGGCCTTTGTTGGAATATTGTTTTTTGGAAACGAGAAGGCCTCGACACTGCTTTTCTAACATTTAGGTGTTTATTTTCTGATCCTGTTTTTTTTTTTTCACATGCTATGTCCTGTCTGAGCCATTTGCCATAGATTTATTACTTTTCACATTTATGATAAGGCAATGAAGTTGTAAGCTTTGTTTGTTATTTTTGGTTCTTTCTCTCCAGCAAAATTTCAGACTTAAGTTTCTGGAAAAAGAAAAAAACAAAAAAACATAACAAACAAAGCTTGTTTTAGACTTTTTATTCAATGGGGAAAACAACTCATAATCGAAAATTATTGCTTAAATTAAAATAAACATGGCTAAATAACTTCTTATTTAAAAAATGCATTTTAAAGTTATAGTTTTCAAAAGACTTTCTTTACAGACTTTAATTGTACCATATGTTTTGGTCAGAGCATATTGTTTGGCAACAAATTTTGGTGTCAAAAAATTATAAATACTTTGAAAAGGAGCTTGTGGCCACGTTAGTGGCAATGCTTCTCTTAGCGCAATTAGAATAAAATTTGTCACTGGGGTATTTACTACTGTAGTAAGATTACAAATGAAAGATTACAATTAAATTACAATTATTCATAAAATCACTGTATTTGCATGGCTGCCACAGTTTTTGCCCCTACTTGTGCAAAAGCTGCGAAGTAGATGTGTTTTGTCTTGACAATCTAATCCAGTGTTTGTGCAATGAGAAACAGCTCAAGATTCCTCTCTCTGTATCCAACAGCCTTGTGAAATGTCTTAGAAGACTGAGTGCTGTCTTTTTAACTAAACAAGATTGCATTGTCAAAAAACAGTTCCAACAATTGTGCTATTGTTGACTTTATTACAAACAATTGTACATTCCTAGGGATTTTTCCCTCGATTTACTCAAGTCAGAGTTTTAGTTTGTCTGTATTTTTTTCTGTATTTTTTTCATGAGACAAGGGCATTGCAATAAAAGTTGAATTAACTTTAAAGGTTGTTACACAGCTTTACCAGGGGCGTCAATAAAGGTGTCTGGCACTGTTAAAAATGGGATAACTTGTGGGGCATTTGCTAATAACACTTCCCCCCATTGCACTGCAAAGCCTTTAATCTAAGCCAGTAAAATACTGTTTACATTTTTGATAGATGTGGTCCTCACCAAAAACTTTATATAGTGAAGAAGTGAGATAAATTATATGTATATATATAAAATAGAAAATACAGAGCATTATAGCAGATGACAGCCAGCAGAACATGTTGATTAGATGAGCTCTGGGAAATGTACTAAGCAAATATTCAGCATTGGAAATGAATGCCTATTCCGAGATGTCTTTGCTTATCTGGAACTAAAACACTTATAGTTTTCCATTATTTGTGAAAAGCAAACATCCTTTTCAATCTAAAACATGAATGAGCCAGTTAGGGGGAAAAAAAAGGTGTGTTGCATCAGCCTTGAGGAGAAATTTAGCTAGTTAGTTATTTTTACCAACATGGACTGCAGCCAAAATGAAGTTTAACAAGCTGGAGTATTATAAATGCACCAGCAAATCACCGGGAAGGCCGGCATTACTTTGATGAGAACCGAGCTGTATAATTGCCGACCATACAGATGTTTTATAATCACTTTATGTGAGCAATTTAAAACTCCCTGTGGGATCCAAGTCTCTCTGAGGCTAATCCATGGTGCTCTTTACGGTAATCCATTCGAATAACTCTTCTCCAGTGTCATCGATTAGAAATTCAGGTTGATGGAAGAGCTGGGACTATACAGCATGATAGGGCTGAAACGCTTGTAACTCAGACCGAAGAACATTCATTCCAATGACTAATGACTTGAAATCAGTTGCAATTTTTTACTCTGTACAATTAGGACACAAAACACACAATACTTGTAGACATACATGTAGACGTGCCCGTGCAAAGTCGAAACATCTTTGTAATTCATTTCCAATTAACAAGATTTATTAGTCTCTTTTTTTATTTGTATGACAATACTCTTCTTTCCTTACTTTTTACAGTTCAGAGTCATTGGCGAAGCTAATAACACAAGGGAATAATTGACTGGAGGAAGAAAAAAAACTCTCTTTGATTTCTGTTGGACCAAATGACAAATGTTATAATGAATCCAAAGGGCACCTCCTATTGCTTTTTGTTACATGACACCTGAGTAACATGTGAGTCAGCTGAGCTAAAAGGTTGTACCAGTTAGGAAAATATATTGCAAGAAAATGAGTCTGTGGTGACTCACAGGGTCAAATCTCTTTAGTAAGACCCACTTAATTAGCACTAACTGTTAGGAGTACACATGCATCTCCTGTCTCTGTTCCTACACCACCCATTGAAAGCCTTCACTTGTTGACCAGATACAAAAAGGGAAAAAAAGAGCTAAAACTGATTTCTTTAATCTATTGAAAAACCAAAAGCAGCTTACTTATAAAATTATTGAATCCTTTATGAAAGATCAATTTTTAGTGTGGCACAGCGACTGAAAAGTATTACATAAAAAAAAAAAATACAAGGTACAATAGACTTTCTGATTTGATCAATCAATCAATCAAACAAACAAACAGACAAACAAACAAACAAACAAACAAACAAACAAACAAACAAAGGCAGAGTGTTGGACATGTAGCTGACTCGTGTCTCTCTGTGGCTCAAATTGAATTAAAACTTAATTTGATTAAAGACTAATTAGTTACAAATTAACAAAAGTAATTACACACTCTGGTCTGTTTCACATATTCATTTACTTACCCTTTACTTTTATAGCCAGACAACACTGATATAAATTTGCATTCAGTCCTTAAAGAGTGAAATGCACAGCAAATGCACCATTCGCAAGAGGAAAGGTACATTTTTAAGCTGTCTAAAAACAAAGATAAATTAGGTAAAAATTGTTATTTTGCTCAACTTTATGCTAAAACTGCAGCAACTGTGCAACTTACAAAGTGGACACAGCTTAAATCCCACAGAGGGATATTCATGCTGTCTACACTCAGGATGACATGTCCTTTAAATGACTTGGCTTTGGCTCTGTACTGTTCTCGTCATATGTATTGACCAGCGGATTAGTGATGTGATCCTCTTAGGGGTACGTTTGCTCATGCAGAACTTCAGCTGAATTAAGTCATGTACACATCTGTGCTAAACACCTGTACTGTACTTACTGCTGGAATCTGGGTTGGACTCCTCAGTTAGAGAACACATCCCTAATAGCCTCCAGGACGGCAGATCTCTCCGGGTTTCTCTTGCCGATTTCTGCAAACAAAGATTGATAAAGATGCATGTAAATGCTCTTCCTTCTACAAGTAATGACCATTGAAAAGTACATCTCTTTGATTTCCCCCAAAAACTCTGTGTTCAGAGGATAACCTTCTTCTTTCTCTTTGCAGAGTCAAAAACGGATTCAGTACTGTTTTTTTTTTTTCCAACAGTGGGAGTCACCTCATTAACCTTATCTAACAAGCGTAAGCTAATGAAATCCTCTCTTTCAGTTCCTGGTCTTGCCAAAGTTAGTTTTACTAATTAATCAAACATGGAACCTCCTCCTACCTCTCCATCATCTTAATGACTTCCCTACAAAGCGAGTAAGAATGCATACGCTGCCCTGGGGAAGGCTACTTTGGCACATCTTTCATGCATTTTTATTGGAAGCTGAAGTAACGACATCGGAAAAGCTTTGCACAAAAGAAATATGGAGACTTTGTATTCCCGAAATAAGCTTAATGGAGATGAAGCACAATTCCTTTATTGCTTGGCTGTCTTTTATCCTTTTTGTTGTATTTCTGTTTACAGACCAGCTACAGCATGCTATAATCTAAGGTTGCAATTTTCCTTCCCACATAGATATTAATGTCTTCAAAACACAACGTAGCTCACAAAGCACTTATACCATGTCTCTTCCAAGCAAAACAGTTTTGTGCTCTCGTGTCTTTCGATTCATAGTGTGTTGCAGGTTGTACCAGATGAAAAGCATGGGCAAAATCCAACCTTCATCAATCAGCAATGTGAATCTGCAGGGTTTTTTTTTTTTTTTTTTTTTTGCTAAATGAAAAGACAATGGTCAATGCAATTCAATTAGCTACCAATTTGCATTTAAGTGAAAGAGGTGATAGTTAAAGTGGCCTATAGCAGCTGCATTTCTGCAAAGAACCATGACAACACAACACAGCTGAACCAAGAGAAAAGGGTAGCTTGGGAGTCTTCAGCTGTATTCTTTTAATTACTCATCATAATGACACCATTTAGCTGTTCAATGACCCATTTCACAGCATTGAACAGACATGGGAAGCTCTCCGTCCTTGGCAGGGTCAGTTCTGCAGCTCCCCCTTCGGCCATTTTTTTTTTTTTTTTTTTTTTTTCTCCACTGGGCTTTGGGAGGCAGGTTCCTCTGTCATTTTCTCTCAAACACATTCACACTTACACATGAAAATCATCATCGCCACAAATTAGGTATGGTTAAAATGTTTCTCCACGAGGGACTTCGGTTCAGAAAGGTGCTCATTATATGGAAGAAATGTAATTATTCTTTCTGAAAGTTACAGGGCTTCAGATAAGAAAAAGTCTGTCACATAATCATCTTAGTATGAAACATTATCATTGTGAACAGTTGAGATATTAGCATATAAGTAGAAAAAAATCTTTTTTCTTAAAATTCAATCTTATTTTAAGACAAATTTGACATTCCTTGTAAGCATTAGCATAGCATTCTCATACACTTTTCAGCAGAAATACTCAACACAATAACGCGATGGAATCTTAGCAGGTTACTCTTCATTGTGTATTCTGACCTGGCACACTGGGACAGAGTGTTTCCCAAAAACACATTTAGAAAATCATACTTTGAACATGTTCTCTAAACATTTATTTTGTAAAAAGCAAATGTATAAATATACAACACAGGTAAGACGGCTTTTTTTTTGTCTCTCACAGAGATGTTTTCTTTTGGGATTCAAAAGGTTTAAGAAGGTTTAAAACAGCATTAAATAAGGCATTTTGTTGGTAGTGGGGTGTGCCAGGGATGTTTTTACGGGCTTTTGGTTATGCATTTTGAGAACCTGTAGGTCTCATTTTTGCTTTTTGCACATAATGTGGATCTGCTTGTGATTCAATTGGGTTTCAGCCAAGTGTGAAAGATGTGAGTCAGTTCAAGTTCTGAACCGACTCCCTCCAAGTACAGGATATATCTCTGTTTCAAGTGGGAGAGATCGGGGTCTCATCTCTAGTAATGCAGACACAGCTCTGCTCTGTTGTGGTGAAGAAAAGAAAGTGCACCAACAAACAGGGCTACTGATTTAACGCTTTGTCAGTGTTCCAACCCTCAGTTATCATCATGAAAACGGATCCTGACTGAATGCACAGAATCCTGCATACAAGCAGCTGAAATAAGCATTTCCCCTAGGGTTGCTGGGCATGGTTTTAGAGTTAAAGGTAACAAGCTCTGTCACTCAGGGGTTACGTTTGAGTAGAGCCATTGCTCCTCTTCACTGAAAGGAGTCTTCTGCTGTGATTTACGTATTTCATTAGGATGGTGACTCTTCTGAGATTTTCTGTTCATGTTGTAAGAAGACTGGTGAGAGACCAACACACTGAAATACTATAGAAGGTTTTAGGTGTAGGACTGCCTTGAGATTCCCACAAAGGATTAATATTTAAAAATTTTAATGGTAAATCAGTGATTCTTGAGAATAGGGACAAAACAGGTCCTATGGATAAAGCACAAAATTTGAATAAAATATACACAAAATTTATATTTTTTTTTTCAAATATCTGACTAAACTAACCTGGGTCATGTGAGCACAACAATGTATATTTTCCTGGTGTTTGCTGAATATTTTTTATTTTAAACATTGTAGTTGGTGGATGATGTCCCGGAGCAGAACTCAATACGTTATAATAGTTTAAAACAATTAAAGAAATGCTAAAATGATTTATTATGACAATTCAGTATAAGTAGTCATATAAATAATTATAAAAGTATCAATAAATTGAATTAAAAATTATTTTTACATATTTTCCAACTCCATTGAAATTTGTCCCTAGTTTTTGTCAACACTGTCAGACATGAAAAGAATATAAAAAAAATCAGGCATTATTGGGAGGCACCAGAACTTCTGAGTGATTCTCAAGAATCACTGAAATATCAACCAAGCAAGCGTTCATTCATTTCCAATAATGTGTGTAAGAGATCCAAGCTTAAAATCCTCTGGTGTCCTGTTGAGAATAAATAATTCTTTGTTTGTCCTCTATCTCTTTGAGCTAGTTGCAAAGCTAAAAGCTAAAGGAAATGACATGTTAGGAAACACCCTCAAAGCTAAGGTTAAAGGATGTGACACAGTAGGGAACGCCCCCTTTAGGGCACAGCTTAGATAGAGGCTAACAAAGTGCCATTTTGTCCTGCTAGCTCCTAAAGGTAGCATGAGAAATGGACCAGCTGTATATTGGTATTAATAAATGGAATCCATGCATTCAACTCACTGACTCTTCCTCAACCTCATACATCAATAACTTATCATGGAGAACGGATAATTCTCCACAGTGCCAAAAACATGTCAGTTTCTCACACACACTAACATCTAATGGTTTTTAAGTTCTTAACATCCACTCATGCTGGCAAGTCTTAACAGAATCCTATCTGGATGATGATGTGATTATTTTACTCAAATGATGGGATTTACCTCAAACCATTATATTCTGAACAGAAACCAAGACTTTTGATATACCTTAGCCTATCTGAATGTGGGCTCATTAAAAAAGGCAATTTATTCAACACTGGACATTAACTCTTGTCCTCTGGGTATCAAGCCTCATGTGCCCTGTGTGTCTTATTCAACCAATCCATTTTCCACATGTAGATTTATTTAAAAAATTTCGAACATCCTTAGCAAGCAACTAACCCGTACAAAATACCTAGACTATTAAGTCACTGGAAAATGGCATGGAAGGACTGTCTGTTCATTAACATTTATGACCAAAGGGTGCAAGAAAGCTTTGGTAGGTGATGAAAGGCAAGTGAGAATTTCTTGGCAACTGTGAAAAGGATTTTTGCAAATTACATGAGCGCAAATGGATTTTTGCGTTGTGATAAATTGTTTTTGCATCATCTACCCTTGTAATACAGCCTTTTATTATCCCCATGAGGGCACGACAACAAACCACTATTAGTTTAGCAGAAGAGGTTAAGTTTCCACCACTGCTACCTTGTTATCTTGCAGCATTATTGATTTTGGAAGCACCAGTTTTTGTCATTGGTTCACACTACTCACGGTGCTGTAGATGAAAATGGGGGAAATGGTGTACTGCTCTGGGCAGCCATCAGGTGAATACTCCCTAGATAAAGACTTCTTGTGCTTACATTTTCTCCATTGGCTCTACAGTCTTGAATATCCTAAACGATATTTGAATAAAAGCAAAACATCTGTTTGCACATCTGTAGAGGTGATGCTGTTAGAAATGCTTTTTTTTTTTACTGTTTGTGATTAGTCTTTTAAACCTCATAGACCATTTATGTATCAAATGTATTTGCCTATAATACACATCACATTACCTGTATAATATTAATAATAAATAATGTTTATTACTCCTTATCTGCCGGTTGGAGTCAGAGCTGGTCTAAGGTTGTATGGGGCTTCAAGCTGAATTAAACTTAACTCTTCTGGTTAAGGATATTGCCACCATTAACAGTATTTAATACAGATTTGATGGAATCTAGCAGAGAAGACAAAGTTTAATTTTTTTTAGCAGATTCACTTTTGGCAGAGCATTAAATGTGACACACATTAAACACATTTAATGTGCTACACATCCAGGTGTGTTAAATTAGACATGTCGCATGATGTGACGCATAATAAACCAATAGAAAAACAAAAATAAACAAGAGAGAGAATTAAAAGACAAAAACATCCATAATGTCAACAAATTCCCTGAACTTAAAAACAGTCACGTATAATTGATTATTATTGTCTTAGATGTATTTGTGAACAAACTGAGCTCAAGAACAGTTTAAACTCAACATTTTATCTATGTTAGTACAACAAACCATGAAGAATCCTTTCTGCATTTTAACTTGTAAACTTCCCACTTCTTTAAAGTCTTAAATTTTAAAGAAGGGGCCACTGCTTTTATCCACTTGTGCTTAGAACCTACTCAATATGAAGATGCACTTTAAAATACATTACTGCTCTCAAAAGACATCTTTATCTTGCTGTGTTTTATTTTAATTTTTATTATTATTATTATTATTATTATTATTATTATTT